TTTCGTCATGACTGAGTAACAATGCTATCGCTGTGTTCCACACATCCATTCATACAGTGATGGTGTGATCCCTCTGTGTCAACATAGGAATGATAACTTGGAGGCAGAAAGACCCCCAATTCTGTATACTAAGGAAAGAGGTGTGTGTGTGTGTGTGTGTGTGTGTGTGTGTGTGTGTGTGAGAACAGGTGACATCTGTCACCTGGGGAACGTGGACATTCAACACAGGCTCATGTGAGCACTTTGGATGTTTTTCCAGGTGTCTGTGGAGACTCACTCTTGACAGTGGCAGTCCTGGTGCAGTTGTAGAGAATAGCCAGCTCTCCAAACACCTTTCCTGGCCCCATGGTGCAGAGCTTCAGGCTCTCCTTCGTCACCTCCACCTTCCCATCTGAAACATGCACAGAAACACAGGTGCACTATTAGGCATTATGCTATACAAATTGCACATTTATTTCTCTACCTGATCACTCAAGTGTGAGTCTACATTCAATATGTGCAGCAAACAAAGTTTCAGTGATGGAATGGAGTTGATGATAGGTATCTGAGGGCTCGTGCTTCATTTTTGGAGGTACCCAGCAAGACTTCTCTTGACTCACTGGGCCAGAAAAAAATAAGATTATTTTGCAATGTGGATTTTCCAAGGGCTACTGGCCTCCTACCAAGGCAATGCAGCAGCACCAACATGAGAAAAATCTACTTAAAGTTTATCACTCCGTAACTCACAGACATGGTATGGTTTGCCTTAAGATAAGGACCGTTAAATCAATATACTGCATTTGAAAAAGTGTGAACGTTACCAGGACTGAGGCATTCACAAAGAATGTTCTGAAGTATTATTATTACAGGATGTATGGCCAGATATGTTTCTAAAGTAAACAGAATTCTGCTTTGAAAAGGCATTACTTACCATTTCTGGAATAAGAAGAATAATAATTAAGGAATAACTAACTTCTTTTCACCTCATTAAACTAATATAATCCAATAACAGTGGGCTTTTGCCAAACAAAACAAGAGGCCAAAAAAACTAAATTCCCCATTAAAAGTGGATTATGCTGCTGCAGAGATAAACGGAAACATCTGTATGAACCTATGCAGAGAAGGGATTATGGGTAACTTTAGGAGCCACCGCGCACAAATCCCAAATCTCAAAAGCTCATAGTGCCGACCTGTTATTTAAGCAAACAGACTGGTTGATCTAACATCCTGTCGGGAAGTTTTCTCAATTTTTTCTTTCGAAGCTTGAGCGCACATTTCATCATAGTACTGTGATCTTCTAGCAGAGCACAGGAAACTAAATTCCTCTCAAAGGCACTTCACATTTCTGCCACATTGATAAATCCATATTGCTTTCCCATTAGTTTCACAGATATAGTAGTTTATTTACACTGTCGCTGAGATTAAATTGTTTGTTTTCTGATTTCTTCTATAATCTCTTCATATCTTGTTTTGTTGAACAGAAAACTGCTTCCTAGTATGTCTGTCTTTTAATGTAAAGTGTAAAAGAAACACGTACATGAATGTGTTTGTACAGCACCTGTGTATATATTTGTTTATGTGCAGCCCTGAGAAGCATAATCCCATTTTAAAGCAAGTTACTCCATATTATTCTTTTTTAATTGTGTATGAGGCTCTTTACCACTGTGGGGGTTGTTTACCACTGCCACTGTGTTCAGACAAGCCTCGTATAGGATGTATGCTTTCCTGGAATCTCAGCTATCCAGCGGGAGCATAACTATGATTCACAGAGAGCAAAGACCCCAAGAAAACAGTTAAAGTCAGCTCTAGGCAACTGATAAAATATGGCACGATGATAAGAGCAGGCGAGTCATCCACAGAGGAAACAGTTTGACACGATATCTTGTTAGAGAGGGCTGTAAACCCCTCTGACAAAAAGCCTCACAAGAACTCGTCATGTTTCAGGACTTCACTTCACTCATAGTTTTTGCACCTTTCAGTAACTATGGTGCACCTTCTTCAACCATGGTAAACAACAAATTATCCATTAACAGCCAGCATGAGGCTGTACACAGAAAGAAAATTCTCAGCTCTTAAAGTATGCCACCATCTTGCAATCTTCTTCTCTGCTGTTTTCATTTCTCGTGTTTAATGTCCTTTCTTTCATGCTAGAGCTTTCCTGTTTCTGAAGAAACAGCTGGAGATCAAAAAACTAACTTAAATGTCTTGCCACCAAAGGTGGCATTTACATTTTTGAGAAGTGCTTTGATCTGGCTGTGCTTCTTTCATTATCATCATCTTAAGTATTCATAAAGCATTTCTTCGATTGATTGTGAACTAAAGCACAATACTTTTCTGTTAAATCTCTCTTCCAGATGTTTCTTTCAAATCTAGTAACAGGTACGATGCTTTAGGTAAAGATAACTGCCTGATCGAATGGATGCTTATTTAAACTTAAAACATAAAGCAATGTTGTGAAGATAACATTCTTTTGAAAAGATATTAAAATGTTCAGTTGAAGTAAAAATGACCACAATTCTTGTCTTGATTATGGCAGCACGGTTTTGGTACTGGTAACAAAAAAAAACATACAAACACTCATTGTAAGTTGCAGTTTCTTAAATTACTCCTTCTATTTTCTACTCTTTTTAAATAAAATGATGTTTGTTGACCTTAAAAGCATAAAATAGCTCTGTTGCTGTACACCTCAGGATTTTTCCCAGGAAAGAGGGAACGCCTCATGATTCAAGAGCAACTGTAAAATATTTCATTTGCTGAGTACAGCTGAAATAATTTTTGCAGTGCCAGCCCTGCCTCACAGTGTCTATATATAAAGACTATAATTAGTGAGCTCAATTCACTATAAGATTTAAGGCTCGATAACTGCCATTGAGAATCGATTGAGGCCAAAGAATATGTGCCAGACTAATCGGTAAACTGTGAGGGTTGTTGAGATGATGATGTGACTTGCAACCTCTCAGAACTCCTGAGTCCTTATTACGAGCTATTACACCTGGGTGTCACAGATACAGAATGAATAATGGCTAGTTTAGAACAAAACTGCCAGTGGTTTCACAGCAGCAGTTATGTTTGTTTTCCAGTTTGAAAATAGTAAGCAAATACAAAGTTTGACTGTTGTTTGCAGACTTTGATCCATAGTTTCAGGAGGAAGAAACTATGTGGTGGAGTGCAAGGGATGTATAGATATAAATTCATCTACAGTAGGCTACTAGTCAAAAGTCTGGACTCACTTTCCCTGGATGGAAAACTTTTGACTGGTACTGTATGTCTGTGTCTATACAGATAATTGCTGCCTTATTTAAAAGGATGCAGCCTAGGTGATTTAATAACCGCAGTGTCTCAAGTTCATGTAAGGACAAAGACAGCGACACATCAGGCAGCGCAAACTTTATGCTTGACTATGGACAATGCTAATAGTTGTGGACAGGTATGTCATGAGTTTTTTGATTCTGCCAAAGACGGTGTGCTTTTCTTGAGCAAGTCACTGACAGTGGGCTGTGAGGGAATTAAGTAATCCAATCATTCAGTTATTAGGATTCCACTTTTTTGAGAAACTTAATCAGCAGTTCACATCCATTCGTCCACACACACCAACACATGGTCCAGCTCATTTCCTGTTTTTGTGTCCTGTTGTAACACACTGCTTCATTACAGTAGCTCTAATTTCACTTGAAATTCACCTCTCATATGTAAGTGCTATTCAAATATTATTCAAATAACAACACAACAGGCACATACATGCTCTCCCATTGCCTGGCCGATCTGATATCCGAGTGCAGCACATTTACATCTGACTGGGCCATAACAACAGCTGTATACTGTGTTGTCTAAAGGAAAATTAAAAATGTGATAAGAAGAAGAACTGAAAAATTCAAAATGCCTAAAATAGTGCATGCATAATGTTAACTGCCATTAGGGTTTTCACTGTCGATGTATCACAGCATGTCTTCTTCCCCGGAGGTGGTGTAGCTGTGTTAATGGCTGATCATTTGAATGCACACGGTTGTGCGCTCCACATAGCAGGGCATCAGGACAGACCTCTGAGCAGACTTCTCTCTGACTCAAGATCAGATGTGATTCTGGCTGCATTCCAAATCAAAAAGCTTTTCTTTTGGTTTGATTTTATCTCCCACTGGTGCTGTAGACTTCACAGATAAATAGTAATAATAAGTAGTAGAATGTGCACCTACTAACCCTCTAATATGAGTGATTTAAATTTTCCTCTGTGATCTACAAGGATTATCAAGTATTCTATTAAGAAATCTGTCTTTTAGACTAAAACCGATGGTTACGATTAACTAGATCACAATTGATAAATCAATTTTTGAAATGTCCTTTTTGTGCTTCTGCAAACAGCATGTGACAAGGTTCTCTATTACAAGGACATCTGTTAACTTCCACGTGAAGTCTTTCACACTGAAGTCATTAGACTGTGTCTATAAATAAAGTTGAGTTTCAGGGTTCAGGCACAGGATAGTGTTTAATTCTTCCCCCTCCTCTTCCATTGATAGTTTTTATGTTTTTCAAGGAGCAGAGTGGACATCAAGAAACAGGATGTGGGGGAGTTCCAGTCCCATAGAGGATAACAACCAACCAAATATCCCATCCTGATGGGCCTTGTTCTTCCACCACTGCTCAGGGGTCAGATTACCCAATGCTGTCCCTATCCACTAGAGCAATGTAAGAACATTGATAGTAGATTAAGGACGTTGTTTCATCCTGCTCCCACTGGCCAAAAAATGGGGTCATTGTCACTGAAGGTTTCAGCTGTTACAAGACTTCAGGTCAGCAATGATACTTCTGAGAAAAAAACAGTCATGTTATGTGTGATAGTTTGAATGATTATTTGAAGAAAAAGCCAAAGGAGAAACATGACTGACATTGAGAGCTCTTTTGAGCGAGGCATCTATTCAACAGGGCCTAAAATGGGTTCAGAAAATTCCAGGGTTTAAAAATCACCACCTGCTCTTTATTTTTAAATTTTAAAGATGTGGTTTAAAAGATATCTTCAATTGTCATTCATTCAAAAGTTTGACTGAAATTGGCTGTAAATGCTAGCCTTTGATGATACATCAGCTCTGAGCAGTGTTTTCACCTTGTTTTCGAAAGAATACAATGTGAATCTCAAAAAACCTAGACACTTTCAAAGGAAAAAATATTCATAGCTGCCCAGTTATGAAAAATGAGACACATGCATCAACACAGTGAGCAGACATCAGAAAATGAAAAATAAGACCAATAGATCTCAAGATGAATGCTGCACTCTACTTCACATTCAGTGACAAGAAATTCAAAAAGGGAGAGAAGCCAAAACTTTTATGTTTGGGTTTGAGGCTAATTAATAGTGGACCTCATTAAAATAATCAAAGTTTTAAAAAAAATTGGTAATTCCTCCTGATCACAGAACTGTGA